CATTGTGCCACCATCATCTCTAATTCCACAACATTTTCATCACTCCAAAAGGAAACCCCTCACCCATTAAAAAATCATCCCTCATCCTCCTTGCCCTGTTTTCTACGGATTTATCTATCTTTCTGTTTCTGATTTCTAATTTAGATTGTGGCACCAGTATACATTTTGTATAACTTACATCTTTTAAATTTATTGAGACTTGTTTTATGGTCCAAAATACGGTCCATCTTGAAACATGTTCACGTGCACACAAAGAGCATCTTATTCTCCTGTTGTTGGGTGAACGTTCTAGAAATATCTTTAGGTCATAGTGGTTGGTAGTGTTGTTCAAATCTTCTAGTGATTTGCTGATTTTCTGGCTCTTTGTTCCATTAATCCTGAGGGGTACTGAAATCTGACTGCAAGTGTGGGGTTGTCTATTTCTCCATTGCAATTTTGTCAGTTTTTGCTTCATTGACTGCGAAACTCCGTTATTAGCTACAGAAATGTTTGTACTTCTAGCCTCTTGACTGGTTGCGCTGTTTGCACTATAAAATGAGTTTCTTTATCCTTGGTAATATTCTTTTTTCCAAAGTCGGCTTAGTTATTAATATAGCCACCGCAGCTTTCTTTTCATTAGTGTTAGCTGGTATATTTTTTCCATTCTCCTTTTAACCTATTTATGTCTTAATATTTAAAGTGGCTTTCTTGTAGGTAACCCATAGTTGGGTTTTGCTTTTTTATATAATCTGACAAATTCTTTTAACTGAGGGCGTTTTGATTATTTAAATTTCATGTAATTATTCCATGATTAGGTCTAAGGTTATCATCTTGCTGTTTATTTTCTGTTGGTCTCACCTGTCCTTTATTATTTTTCTTTTTTCTACTTTCATAGGGGACAAATGAATACTTGTTATGATTTCCATGTATCTCCTTTCTTGGCTTATGCAGCACACATCTGTATTCCGGGACTTCTGTGGCTGTTGTGGTGTGTAGAGAGTATGATGCCACTTCACGCAGAGCATAGAAACCTCACATCTGTTACCTCCCAATCTTTATGCCATTGTTGTCATATGTTTCATTTTTACTGCTATAGGCCCCGTGCTACACTGTTATTGTTTAAGCAGCCAATTATCTTTCAGAGTGATTTTTAGAATAAGAAAGATTGGACACACTTTCCCCTGCAGTTTACATGTTTGAGGCTCTCCACGCACCTGTGTGGATCCACACTTCAGTGGGCATGGCTTCCTTCTGCCTGCGGGACTGACTCCAAGAGCTCCTGCAGCCCCTGAGGACGCCTTCCTTCGGCTCTCGAGTGTTTGCAGAAACATCTTTCTCTCACCTTCATTAAGAATCGTATTTTCTGGGTATAGAATTCCAGGTCGGCAGTGTTTCCTCTTGGCCTTCACAGAGGTCCCTGCACTGGGCTCTCAGCTACACCGCTTCTGTGGGAAGCTGCGCCATTCACCTCTGTCACTCTGCACACAACGTGCAGTGCTCTCTGTCTGACGCTCAGATGCTCTTCTTCTCACTGGTGTTAAACCATCTGGTTACGGCCCTGACACAGTTTCGTTCCTCTTCAGAGTTCTTGTGCGTGGGATTCATTCAGCTTCTTGGATCTGTGGGTTTGTATTTATTTTTATCAAATTTGGAAAATGTTCAGTCATTAGGTAGTCAAATTATTCTACTTTCTCCTCTTCTCCCAGGATTCCAGTTACACCTATATTCATGCACTTAAAACTGTGTGACTTTAATTTTTGTTCTCTTTAATTTCATTTTCAAAAGTTTCTGTTGCTATGTCTCTAAGTTCTCCAATGTTTTCTCCTGCCATCGTTGTCATTCACTCCACCTGGTGCCTCCTTCATCTCCCGTGTCGTGGTTTTCACCCTGAAAGTCTGGGTTTTGTCTTCCTTTTATATCTTCACCATTTCTACTTAACGTTCTGAACATATAGAATACAGTGATAACTTGTCTTCCAATTATAGTATCTGTGCCCACTGATCAATTTGCTTTTGATTGATCAATTATTCTCCCTATTTTCCTGCTTTTCTATACAGCAATATTTTATTGGTTGCCAGATATTTGGGCTTTGTTTTCCTCTGGGGTCTGGTGGGCATTTCTGCATTTCTGTATGTGTTCCTCAGGCTTGGGCTCTGTTCCAGGACAGTTGTCTTCTCAGAGGAAATAGTTGGGTCCTTTCAGGTCTGCTTTCTAGGGTCTCTCAGGCAGGTCTGGAGTGGGGCTCACCAGGCCTAAGGACCCCTGACTGAGGCAAGGCCCTGTGTCTGCTTTGCCCGACGCCCCAGGGATCATGGGGGTTTCCAATCTGGCTGGTGAAGCAGGTGCTGTTCCCGCCCTAGAACACTTTTGGGTGGTTCTTCCCCAGCACGGGGCAGCTTCCTCTCAAGAGTATGCTCATCAGGCCTGGGCAGGACACTCCGGGGCCTCTCCCGAAGGTCTTGGGGTTTTCTCTCTGTGCAGCCCTCCCCTGCCCTCCCCTCCCCGGGGCTCTGTCCCACCAGTGGCAGTGCCTGGCTCTCCACAGGCTCTCGGCTCCATCCTGTGACTCAGGTCACCAGCGGACTCCACCGGAGCCACCGCGGTGAGCTTGGACCTTAGCTCGGGGACCACTGCCTGTCATTGCTGACGTCTAGTGTTCTGAAAGTCCTTGTTTCATACAGTTTGTGTTTTCGTTGTTTCTGGTCCCTGTTACTCCATTTCAGCTAGAAGCAGAAGTCAGCTGGCTTGTAAGGTAAGTTACAGTGGGGTTTATATCCCGGTGGGAGTGACCCAGTGTACACAGGAACCAGGACACTTGCTTACGTCTTGAAGTGACAATAGGCCCTGGACACTGAGGAGCCTCCCTTCCTCCTCAACCACGGCGCCCTGGGCCAGGCCATATGCTTCCAAGTAATACGCAGTTTTTTGTTCTTCATCTTCCTCGTTCTGGGCAAGTAACCTTTATAAGACATAAGAATGGAATTTGGAACAAAAAATGTTAAAACATTATGTTATTATTACTAAATGTTTAATATGTCATTTTCTATCATTATACTATATATTTTATTAGTGCCTAAAATGATGTTTTAAAATAGCTAACATGTAAAGACATTCTCGATATGTCTTAGAGGTTTAAGAAGCTGGAATAATGCAGTATGTACAGCGTATTATGGTTATGAAATTTAAATCTGCGCTTGAAGGAGATTTGCGGAAGCAATTCTACAGCATCAGCTTTACCCAGCGGGCTGGGTTTGATCGGCTAACTCAGCTTCCGCGAGGACAGCGTACGGCATCCACAGTGACAGACACGGCTCAGGTCAGACCTTGTGGTGGGCTACACCTTCCCCGCACAAGCTTCTGCACACCTGCACTGGGCCCGCCATGTCAAGACGCTTGCGTGTGGACAAGTGGGGACAGCCCCAGGTTGGGGGCAGGGCAGTGGGCGGGGCCAGGGAGGCTTTGCCAGGGCAGGGGTGGCTGGCAGCTGCTGTGGTGGGGACGGCTGGCATCAGGACTGTGTGGGCCCTGCCCTTGGGGGGAGCAGCCCCTGAGATGCCGCCTGGCACCGGGCTACAGAGCCATGCAGAGCAGGGCCGTCTCCTTAGGTCAGGGCCCTGCAAGCAGCTCAGGGCTGTGCTTGGGATGTGCGCGTGTGACCTGGGCCTGGGCACGTGTGTGCAACGCGTGTGTGCCTGTGGCTGGTGGGGGTGGGTGGTGCTGTATGTCTGCCAAGGGCTGGAGGTGCAAGGCCCAATGTGGGTGCCCTTGAGGGAGGTGTGGGCAGCCACGGGGCTGGGGCCAGAAGGAGGCCCTGTTGGGGCAACGGGGCTCCCCCGACGGGGAGGGCTGGACATGTGATCAGAACATGTGGGGGAGGCAGCAGCCGGGAGCTTCCCAGGGGAGGGGCCTGTGGACCCCAAGGGGGTGCAGCTGGGGTGAGCCAGGCCCAGAGGGCAGGATGGCACTGGGTGTGCTGCGTGTGGGAGAAGCAGTGACTCCCGTGCAGGGGACGCAGAGGCAGCCTTACCTCTTGATCTTCGCACGCTCTAGTTTTACATCAACACAATTCTCTTTGTAGCCACAGTCGATAAACTTTCTCTCAATTTCCAGCAGGCTATCGTCCATGTCTTTCAGCAGCAGCGAGCACTCTGTGGCTTCAGTGACCGCCGACTGCTGCGCAACTCTGACCCGCAGGCTCAGGCACCTGACGGAGGGACGGTTTGGGGCCTGGAGTCAGAAGCCCCAGGGCCGCGTCAGGACTTGCAGCTGGGCTGCTGCTGTTCTCCCCGGTGTTCATCCAGGGATGCTCGAAGAAACGCTTTTGGAGCGTTTCTTGAAAATCAACATCATACGGGCCTCATTCTGTGATCGCGTGTGATAAAATCAGCCCCACCCCAGGCACTGCATCCAGGTGGAAATTCAGAAACCCTCTCCTATTTGACTCACTAACGGAACAGAACCCGCGCCGAAGCGTTGGGCGGTTCACACGCTGCAGCTGCGGGGCCCAGGGCAAGGCTGGGAGGGAGGCGGAGAGCACAGGAGCCAGGCTGCGGCCCGGAGCAGCCACAGCAGGGCCCCAGGCTGCCCTCGCACAGATGCAGAGAGCTCCACAAAGACAAAGCAGAACACAAGGAAAGCGCGAGTCAGACAGAAATCCATGTTGCTGGGGTCTGTAAACCAAAGCCAGCTCCTTGAAAACGTCCACTGTGTTGGAGCCTGTGATTCTGATTTAGAAGAGATGGCGTCGCCAGCCTGGCCAACATGGTGAAACCACATCTCTACTAAAAATACAAAAATTAGCCGGGCGTGTTGGCGCGTGCCTGTAATCCCAGCAACTCGGGAGGCTGAGGCAGGAGAATTGCTTGAACCAGGGAGCTGGAAGTTGCAGTGAGCTGAGATTGCACCACTGTGCTCCAGCCTGGGCGACAGAGAGATGGCGCCGATAAACGGCAATGAGGGAGGCGTGCCTGCGGCAAGGGCTTTGTGAAAGCTATAAGAACACATGCCCTACAAAGTCACACGGACACACCACAAACTTAGAGGAAAAGGGTTCCTAGGCCCTTCCCAAGGCCCTGGAGTTGCCTTTCGAAGCCAGACAGGACACGTGGATGGAAGGCCCACTTCTCAGAGAAAGCCTGAAGCAAGCTCAGGAAACTTCTGGAGCTTTCTGGAGCTATGCAGAAAGCTGTGGATATGAGGCCCCATGACGTGGGCCTCTGAACTTGCACAGGCTGGACGTATGGCACAAAAATCGCAGACGGAAAAGAGGAAACCACAGCTTTCACGCTAATGAACAGTGTTTCTTACAAGGAGTTACCTGGCTTCTAGATCTGTGATCATGAATTCCAATAAAGGCAGTCGGTTTGGTCTTTCTTTCTTGAGGATCTTGAAGGCATTGATGAGCTTCTGAAATATGTGACACACCTGAGGACAGGCGGGGGTGGATACGGGTGTGTCTGAGGACAGGCGAGCATGGATACAGG